TTTATATTTTATAATGTATAATTTTCACCAAGTCGAAATAAATGCATTTTTTTGTTTTTTTAGTAACAAGATTTTCTAAAAAAGATTTTATATGTAATTTATTATAAAATTAATCATCAGGCATTACTTTTGTTAGATATTGTACAATCAAAAAAAATTAACCTTTACAATTGCAAAATTAAAAACTAACAAAATAATAATAATAAGCAATCAATCAATTTATTTATTTAAATAAAAACTTCATATTTATTACAACCAGAAAGTATTGTAATTACAGTTTTTTCAAGTATTTTGAATATTCTGTTGTCTTTTAAAATAATTATAATTTACTTCTAATTTATACAATAGTTCAAAATTTTTATTAATACTTTTGAGCCATTTGCTACTATTAAAGTTCATTATGATTTCTTCAATAATTTGTTTTGTTGCATCCAACAAGTTAAAAATTTCTTGTTTTTAGATTTAGTACAGGATTGTATCTTGGTTACTGATATCTATTTCCTAATTATTACTTGAAATAATGTTAACAGATTCTTGATTATCAATATCAACTTGAGGATCATTATTATAAGCAGTTGTTTCATGAGTATAATAATTATAATTTAAGTTTTCATATGCAAAATGAAGGTTTTTAGGTAAATCAGCAAAGGATTCTCTTTCATAACCTTCAATAAAGAATAAGATTCTTGATGAGTTATCTTAATATTAATGAGATAAATATTTAAATTTAAGTTTTTTTTTTTTACTTTTTTATAAAAGTTTAATTCTATAAAACTATACATTTGAATTAAATGTTTGTATATATAAAATCAGTTTAAGAGAAAACCAGTATATAAATAAGTCCAGTGTAATAAGTTAGTAATATTATTAGGATTTGGATTTATTATATAAGTAACAGGTTTTTTTCATTCTAATTAAAATTTTTTATGTCATTTAGAAATATATCTATTATTATATAATAAATATTAATGATAATTTGAGATGAAATAATTTTCATTATGATTATATAAATAATTAAATCTAATTTTACATAATTAAAACTTGAAAAAATCAAGTTTTAAAATATGCCAATGATTTTTTATAATCATTGTAGTTTATAAAATATTAAGCTTTGAGCTTGATGCATAAGTTCACAATCTCTATTTATCAGAATAGTACTATTCAGATCACAAATAAATTCAAACATATTTAAGATCATTTTGATAATAATAATTGTATTGTTCTTTAATATTTTTAATTCAAATTTATTTTATATTTAAAAAGTTTGGTGAGCATTCTATAGATATTATTAAATGTCATAAAAAATATATTTAAACAAGCTAAAGAATTTTCTTATAAAAATTTTTTTTACAAAAAACTTTATTTTTTTCATTTAATATTTGTTTCTGATTTGTATTATCTACTATTACTTAATTTTGTATAAGTGGTTATCATATAGAGTCAATAAATAAACAAAATGAATGTGTTTTATATGAACTATAATTATTATGCACAATGCTGATACTTGTGAGTTTTTTTTGATTACACAAATTATATACTAGTAACATAACTAAATTTCTGTTTCAGTTTAAATTTTACTTGTAACAGTAAATTGTTCACAAACTTTAACTATTAAAATAGTTTTGATATTTTGAATTCTATTTATTTTTAAATATTAGAACCACTTAATAATTGTATAAGTTTTATTATATATGTATTTTGAATCAAGAAAAAAATATAACAATGGAAATTCTGAATTATCTATAATTTGGAAATTGTATATAATTCAAATTTTAAATAATTGGTACCATAAGTTATATCAATAACAATTGTTTTTGTAACTTTATTTGATAATAAAAATAATAAAGAAGTTAAAAATACTATTATATATTGATCTTGATAAAGAAACTTGAAACTCAAATTATTTACTAAATATAATTGAGCAGAAATTAATTGATTATCTGATAACTTATATTATTTCATAATAAGCTTCTTTGACCAATAATAAATTTGATATCTAGTAACATTTAAAAATCCATCAATCTTATTATTTTTAATGCTTTCATAAAGTTAAGAAACAGTTAATAAATTGTTTTCAATAATATAATTGTGAATTAATATAGAAACATCCATCATTTCAGATAACAAGTGAAGATAATAATATATATTAACTATTGCCAAAATGTAAATACATTCAATGTTAATTTGACTAGTTCTATTACATGCATATTGATCAATTCGTGACATTGTGTCTTGCCTATTAGAAATATCATTAACACATGCTTTTTTATTTTTTAATTTCTTACAGCAATTACAATAATAAGTGAATGAAATTGAATTCTTCAATATATTACATTTGTGATATACCCAAAAGAACTTATCAGCCTTTGAAATAAGTTTAATTAGATGTTGTGCAACCTCTTTGTCCACTTGATCTTCTAAATTCGTATCAACAATATGTAATAATGGATCCAGAATTATAAAAATTTTCTTCTGGAAGTGCATTAAAAATAACATCTACAAGGTTTTCTGATGCAATTGCATTTTCTTGATTGATTCTTATAATTTTATTTCGATTTTTATTTTTTTTTTGTTTATTATTGGTGGAAACTTGGATATGGCAATCAATGCATGTTTTTAAAAGATTGTGTTTATTGGGTTTTATGCTTTTAAAGGAATCACTTGGTTTGTCAATATTGCAACGATCACATTTCATTTTGAGAATTGAAAAAAAGAAATCACTTACTAAATCAATTAATATTTTACTAAATATCCTAACGCTAATCATGATCCTAATCATGATGAATCGATAATATCACGTGATGTTCGAAATTTTTTTGGGTGGCGATTTTACCCTGTTCAAAAAACTCGAAGGAACACTTCATCATGTGAATTTATAAAATTTAAGCTAAAATTTGGTCACCAAATCTGAGTATTTGGTCCCCAATTTTAAATTTTGGTTACCGAACTACATATTAATAAATCAATGTTAAATCCCGAAAAGGTTTTTTGGGCCCTGGTCTTGATTGATAATGCATCTAACCCATCTTCCCCATAAAAATTTATTATAATGACGCATTCTCACTCGGGGATAGTAGTTATTTTAGCCAAAAATCCTTATTATTTTATTAGCGATCAAAATTTTCCTATTACATAAATTCCCGCAATATGATCCGGTATTACGAATAATAGTGGTGTGTGATTTAGTAAAGTAGTGGAATATTCTACAAAAATCGCACTTGAGTATATAAAATTAGCATACTGTACTCATGATATATATTATATATAAAATAGTATAGTTGGAAAGAATTTAATTATTATATATGACCTCACGAAAATTCTACGGAAATTTATTTATTTATATGAAATCATTATTTTTACGGCTGTTTTCACAAAATTGAGATTTTTATGAGATCGTTTTAACGTTTAAACAAAAATTAAGATTTTCATAAAAGCTCCAGCGTTACCACCAACCGAGAATGCAGTCACATGGCATTCCGACCTTATGATTCTCCGGAAAAATTTGAATCCAAAAAAAATTTTATTAATCGTTTATGTTTATTATTTTTTTTAGAAGGAAAAGCTTTCTTGTTTTCTAAAAGACAAAACACTACTATTAGACCAAAATAAATAGTTAAACTTATTCTTAACAAGGGTACTGAACAATTACAATTTTTATGTAATTATGATCAACTAACGATTGCAATTCAATTTTTACCTTTACTATAAATTTCGCGATAATGTAAAATCTTAAAAAACTGAAAAACTGATTATATTCAAATACAGAATTACATTGCTATTAACTTGTAGAAATACAAGAGAAACAATAAACAAACGATTACAATACATTTACGCTTCACACTATAGTGAGGTTATACCAAGAAAATACTAGACTCAAAAATACTAGACTCGAAAATATTAGATATATTTTTATAATTCCATAATTCGTTATATTAAGGGTTCCTATAACAAGGTGAGCTGTATTTAGGCAGACTAGTTCTTTCTATTATTTAACTCGGGAGTATATTTTTAAAATTCTACAATATTTTGTAATGTCGTTTTAATTATTTTTTTGGCATGAATGCAGCCAAATTCATTTATAAATCCAATTACAGCAAATACTTACTATAATGAAATCCTCTGAACATAACAAACTGTAAAATGTTAAATTCATACTATTTTGTAGATTTTGTATATTGATAATTCAATATCATTTGTACAATTTAATGAAATTATTATTTAGTAATCAAGTTTCTTTTTAGAATTTGGTTAATTATTTATTCTGGTCTATGGTAATGATTTGGTTTCTTAAAAAACAATTAAGCTTTTTCTTCAAAAAAAAATTATTCAAAAAAAAAATAATGAATTGATAAGAAAAATAAAAAAAAAGGTTTAGATTCAAAATTGTAAGATCTGAATATCATGAGACTGTACCTTCTATCGTGATAATGTGCAAGTTTGTAAAAATCTTCAAGCATCTTATAAAAATCTTGATTATATATGTAATATATATATATTATGAGTTTATACGTATGCTATATTGATATAGTTTTGAGTATATAGCAAACATGCTAATAAAGTATGTATACGTATCAGATATGTATAAAAAGTTAGGCACAATTTAACTATATGATTTGTATATCGATATAAGTATATTATAACAAAAAAGATGCCCAACTCTAACCGTACGTACTGTAATTCAAAGTATAAAAAAGACTTCGTAACTTTGTAATTGTACTTTTAATAATTAAATATTAAGGTGACTTGATTTACTTACCCCTGGATAGTGTACCCACCACATGCAGTATACTCAGGAGGTATAGATGGTAAGAGACCCCGGGTACTCTCCATGACGAAATACGTTTACTGTGTAAATGCACTATGTTATATAATCTGTATGAAACAAACGATATATGAAACACTAATTTGAAGTATTTATAAATTATAATATATGTACATATGTTCTAATATTTGTTCAGAGGGTCGTTACTTCGTTCATTGCTCTCTACTTATACAACGTTTCACGAGATAGCAAGATAATGATGTAAACTTTCCATTTTTATTTCCAACACCCGCATCACACAACTCCAGTCATGTTCTAATGACGTCTCCCGTTCCAGTGCCCGTGAACCAGGGACGATGATTTTCTGCAAAATGCATAATACCGCAGAATTTACGTCATTTTGCAGATTTTAAAATATTAAAAAAAAATTAATATTTTTATTTATTAAAGTACAACATATTTAATGTTTTAAATGAAGTCTCAGAAAGATTTTGTTTATCGCTAGCTAAAATATTATTATAAATAGAAAAACTACACTCAACATTACAACTAGATATAGGTAACCAAATATAATCCAAAGCTATATCAGATAATAATAGTAATTTGTTTGTATTACTTTTTCAAAATATGTTTAAATTTTCAAATATTTCATTTCCAGTTAGCTCACAATAAATAACTCATTCTCTTAATATTTGTTTTGAAGGATTAGCTAATTCATGAATAATAGAATATTGGTGAATATTTTTTCTTTTTAATGAATCAAAACAAATATAAGAAGGATCAAATATTCAACATGCTTTGAATAAAGAATATGAAAAATGAGTATTAATATGAGAATTGAATTTTTTAAATGCAATTTCAAATGTTTCATGAAATATAGAATAAAATTGTAAAGGATCACCCTTTTGTTGATGAATTGTATTATCTAATTCCCCAGAAAAGAAATTAAAATTATGATTAGATTGAAGGTAAGCTAATAGTTGTTCTAAATGATTATATATCAAAGAAAAAACAAGTTTATTTTGAGTCTGAAAAAAATTTAAATTATAAATGAACTCTTGAGAATAAACTGTAATAAAATGAAGATAAATTCGAATAAGACTTAAATTATTAAAGTTATCAAGAGTAAATAAAATTTTTTCAATATTATTAATTGAATTATTTTTAGATTTGTCTTTAAAAAAATCATGAATTAAGAAAAAATGATTAAAAACATAATAAATTATTTTAAACCACATATTTCAATGAGTAATAACTGGAAGTAGAATCTTTTACAGTCTAGAAATTTCATGATTTTTTAAAAATGTTATATCGATTTTTCTATATAAGACTAGTAATAAAAATAGTTTTTATTTTAAATAAAAACTCTTTAATAATCGAGAAGTAACAAAAATTAAACTAAGGTTTATTAACTAAATTAATGATATATGTATAACATGAATTGTGTAATAGTTGTAACATCAATGGTTTAAGAATATTATGATAGCTTTTTTTTATATAAGAGGCAGAATCAGATAAAAAAGATAGTAAATATTAAATAAAATATTATATCATAGCAAGATGCCAATAAGCAATTGAGATATTGTAGTATTATTAACATTTACTAAAAAATCTACTGAAACAAGTTTGGTGCTTTTCTAATATGTAAATAAAGTATTTACTACTTTTCTCTTACAATCATCTGTTGTTTCATCTATTATTATAGAAATAGACTTTTTATTAAATAAATTTTTAAGAATTACAAGATAATTTTTAAAAACATCATAAAGATAAACTTGTTGAAAAGTTGATGCTTATGGAACTGATCCTCCTTTATGACAGTACTTTTGTAAAAATAGACATAAATAATTTACTTTTTTTAAAGGAATATCAGCTGTTACCATTGTTTTAATCAAATTCTTGATTATACTTCACCTTATCTTATTAGCATTTAATGTAGTTTGCAATGTTCTTTGATATATATGAAAAGTATTTTTTTAGTATTAGTTTTATTTTTTTGATGTAATTTGCTATTTATATAATCTTTCACTGTTGACTTGTGCTTCTATTCTAATGGCACATTGCAAAATTAGCAAAAAAGTGCATTATTATTCACATGAAGGTGTTCAGAATATTCTTTAACATGAGTATAAGAAGATACAATTTTATGTTACAACATTTTTTACTATTAGATTTTTCAATAAATAAAGGTTTATTTTTTAGTTTTTTAGAGAAATATATTTTAACAAAATTATTTTTTTGAATATTTATAATTATTGCTAATATTGTATTTGTAATTATTACTAATATTTTTATCAATTACAAATATTTTAATAAATACTATAATAATTATATAATTATTATAAATATTTATAGTAATTAATTAAATCTGATTGACTTTCTTGCTAAGTTGAGTGCAGTATTTTAAAAATTGCAAGTTTTTTTTTCAAAGAGTATATTTTTCAAATCACAGAATTATCACAGAAATTGCGAACTAATGATGACAGAATTTTGATTTAATTGCCACAGAAAATTATCATCTCTGCTGTGAACCCAGAGTTTTGAGTCTAACTGTATATTACCAATTGTCATACATTAACATATGCTACAAAATATGCGAAGGGTGGTGTTATAGTTTCATCAAATGCTGAATCTGATGATTTTGTCATAACATTAACTCTGATAAAAGCTATAAATATTGGCAAAAGTATCAAAAGTGCACTACTATCTCTTAGATTGTAATAGAATACAGGCAAATTTGCCTGCATTTTTGTACTTTTTTAGCTCTGATCTACTTTTTTAAAAAACTAAAATATTTAAATAAAATTTGATATAATAATATTTGAAAATA